CTGCTAGAATGGAACTGTGTCACCCATGCATATCACTTTATTTAACGTCAAGTATCTTCACAACCCAGCTGATTGTTGACCGCGCGCGACGCCCTTCCTTTCCTGGTGAGCTTGCTAAAAGAGAACTTCGAGAAAGAGGTGGTCTTCCACATGCACTATAGCAGAAAATAAATGCTAAAGGCAGTACGTACGCCGATAGAGGGTATGTCTTCAAGATTTAAAAGGACAGCTAAAACACTCAACTCTGTCTAGAAAGATTGGAGAAAATATTGGAGGTTGGGGCAAAAGATGCAAAGTTTGTGCTTAGAGGATGGAAAAGCCTTGGGTATTTGAGAAGATTGAAAACCTTATGACTCATTTCATGGCGTACTGCAAGTCTTTAGAATTTTTGGTGAAATTCGAGAAGGAGTATGCTAATGCGGTACATATATAGCTATTGAATTCTTGGGGGAAATTACAGGGGCGCATAGGGCTGTGTGCTTTCACTAACAGAAAGATGTGCCTCGGATCAAAATGTATGTTTGCCTCAGGCTGGCTCGCGATACCCTCTATACCTTGACCCGCAGGAGTCCCTTGACCAACTCCAGGTCTAAATTTTGTGTTTGCTTCACTTTGATTGGTTTGTATGTTAATTTAGAATTTTCTTGCCTTCAAAGAAAGAGGCAGAAAACCCAATGGAGACAATTCTGGAATGGGCTAAACTTCTAGTTATTCACACAGGACTTCTATAATATAATTTTAACACTCCAGGTTAGGATTTTTTATTGAGAAAGGAAAAGTACACTACCTGTTTTGTTCGATCAAATTCACTGGTGCTTTAGAAGCTAATATTTTCCATTGCTGCGATTTTTTTTACTGATGATGTAAAAGATTTTATTAAGTTTGTGCACATCATGATTAAAAACAAAATCTGTTCAGCCTACTGTAACAGACTCAGAAAATTCAGTGTGCTATCTACATCATTCACATTTGCCATTTTTAGCTAAAAAGCCATAAGGAAAATACATCTATTCTTTAACCTAAAGATATAACCATACTTGTTTTCAAGAACTCTCTGGTTCTTTGCTTTCCACGCAACCCATCATATGCAGAGAGGATTTGTGTCCCAGATTTCTCTCTTTTTTTAGGCCCTTGTATTATCAGCAATTAGGGCTGTCAAATTTGGCCAAGCCCAAATGACCCACCTAACCCGTCTAAGGTTGGGCTGGTTATCGACCCGCCCATTTATTGAAATATGGTGCCAAATTAAGACTTGTTCAGCCATGGGCAAAGTTTGTCCATCTATTTTTGTGCAAATGCGTGCTTAGCGTGTTTCAGTGGCCATCCTATTTTAGTGCAAAATTTCATTATGCATCAAAATGGAGATACAAAAGAGAAGTAATGACAAGATGTTGAGGGGCGATTAAAGTTTTGCAGAGCACATACACAAAAGCATAGAAGCAGCATTCCATGGTTCAGACTCTGATGAAGATGATCTCTCTCATTCTCAAGACCCTGATTTTGGGATATATACAAACATTGAGGGCTTGGCTGATGAATTGCGTGAGCTGATTTCAAAGGGTGTTGAAGAGTTGAAGGAAAGTAAAGTCCAAGATGATGATGCTGATCTGACATAGACGAGAATTAGAACTGATGATGACGTGAAGAGCCATTCATTCAATTTGGCCTAAATTTTGCTCTGACACCCTTAGGCGAAAGAGCAAGAAAAGATAGGCTGACTTACTTCTCTATATAACAACCATTCACTATAAAAGTTAAGTTTCTTTTAAAACCAATTTCCACGCTATATTATAATATATGTTCTCTATAACAGCACTTCACTATAGCAACCAAAAAAATTTGGAACAAACGAGACTATTATATAGAGGTTTGACTGTATGTGAATAGTTCATTGCTTCAGAATGTTGACAAGTTCAAGCATAGTGAGAGCAGCATTGGCTGTTAGCAGACTGTTTGGTGAAAAAAAAATAAACGGCTTGCAGCTTGGTACTAATAATGGAAGCAGGTTTAAATATCGGCCCGCGGTCTGAATTTTGCATTTGCTACAAGTGAACATCAGGCCCGCAGTCTGAAATTTGCATTTGCTACAAGTGAACATCAGGCCCGCAGTCTGAAATTTGCATTTGCTACAAGTGTGCGTCTGAAATTTGCACTTCTATAAGTGAACTTCAGATCCAAGGTTTGAAGTTTGCACTTTCTTATGTCAAGTACTGAGCTCACTTCCTTCACCAAGTTGACGCACAACTTCCATGAATTTGGAGTCCATTTTGTGCAACCCTTTCGCCTAGGACGACTGTGATGGCTATATGGTTCAACCTCTGTTGATCTTTTTCGACGTCTCTTTCTTCTTACTTTGTATTTTTCATTTGATGCATTATTGCTTTCAGTTTCATGATTGCTGTGATGGTCCTCATGTAGAAATGTGAATCGTCGACCTATAATTTTGCTCTATACCTTTGCTTAACTGGGGGTCAGCAGAATCCAGAAATGCCAATAATGCTGTGTTATTGGGCAGGCACACAAAAAGAAGCCGTCATTAAACAGGATGATGAGACTTGAGAGCATAGATATGAGGGAAAGAAAACATTAGTAAGTTCTAGGAGGGAAGTTTGTTTTCCTGTTGACACACTACAGTATAGAATGTCAACAAAATTCGTCGAAAGTAAACCGATGGTGGCTCAATGTGATACAAAGAATGGTGTACTACAGGGCAGCTAAAGAGAAGCTTTTGTACATTCAGATCCTGCTCCTAATTCTATTATGCGAGAGGAAACACCCTCAAGGACTGCTGAAGTAACTTTTCCGATTGCATCTATGAATATCCCGCCAAAACAAGGTAATGATCAAGCCAACAGTAGGTTGAGTACCAATACAAACGAACACTCACAATTATATGACAGGACATGCTGTGAGGTCTATTGTTTTGAATACTTTGGCTCAGTGATGTCAAAGTTTAAAAGTACACCCATAAGCCGGGCCTCAGAGATGTACGTCGAACCTTCAGATAATTGCAACAACCAAAATATGTAATACAGATATCTGAACTTTGACACAGAGAAGTACCAATCATCACTTACCAAGTCATTTGCAGAACTGCATCTATTAGTCAAAAAGACGTACAACAACCTCACATGAACTACAGAGGAAACAGAAAACCAACATAGTGTCTCTGTGACTTGAAATTTTCAACTTAGAGCCCGTTTGGTTTAGCTGATTTGAACTAGCTGATAAGCATTAAGTGCTGAAAAGGACTTTTTTAAGAAAAGAACTAACGGGAGAACTTAAAATTGAAGTTCTTAAAGAATCTAAACTTACAAATATAAATTAGTGAACTTTATAAATGAATAAGTGCATTACAACGACAATAATAGACCCAGTCTAATCCCACAAGTGGGTTTGCGGAGGGCAGTGTGTACGCAAACCTTACCCCTACTTGGTAAGAATAAATGCATTGAATTAGCAAAAGAATAAACTACATCACCAATCTAATTAAAAAAAAAACTCTGCCTCCAGCCAACGTTCCTTATCGCCAGCTCCCCACTTCTGAGTTCCATAGGCTGCCAGCTGCAGTTTTCCCCATCAAATTTGTAGGCTTTTACTTCTTTTAATTGACTATGCAAATGCTTGCTTCCATGAGAAGTAGAATGACTCAAATTCTTTATATACATTAATAGATTGAAGTCGATTAGTGGGATTTCACTGGGTATGTTGTTGTTGACATTAATCGATTGAAGAAACATGTAATCATTTCAACAGTTGAGAATCGGTTCTCATAGGATGACAACTCCATAGCTAAGCATCCACAAACATCGGCCACTCCCAAGACGACTCTATATCTACATCTAAAACATTCGTAATGGTAAAAGTGAAGGGGAACTTGAGACCAAGAGATCGAGTTAGATAGAAATTTCCTCAACTTACAAAACCACACAGCATTTAAGTAGCAGTTTTAGCAATCCAAAAGGAGTTTTGAGTGCTTCAATTGGCTGGACTCTTTTGCAATTTCCATTTTAGGAAGTTGATATATATTATATACTAGTGATTCCAATTTCGGAGCATCAATCTCCCACATCCCCCCATGAGAAATAATCATCAAGTCCTTTAGTGATTCACTCCTGCGAATGTTAAACCCTTCTATAGAAACGTGAACCAGTTTCAAACTCTCAAGGAATTGAGAACTAGAGATAAGGTGCTCGAGAAATCCATCAGATTTCGTGACATATGAAACCTTTTAAAGACTTGAGATTCTGACATTCAACAATATCCGACATAAGAGAGTCTTCTGAAATACTAGAATAAAACAAGTGCTCAAGAGTTGGTGCTTGAATTTTAACACACTGGTTTCTCCTTTTCTCAATGGAAACTGACTTGATGTTTTGAAGATTCAGCAGCTCAATCTTTTCCAATCCAAAACAATACTCAATGACGAAATCAACAATCAAGGGACATTTACCAAGTAAAGCTTGAAGCATGTTTTCCTCTAAATGGACAACAATTAAAGAAAGCTTTCACAAAGAATTGTAATTCGCCGCACCACTAAATAATGAAACACCCATCAGATGTTCTACAACATTGTGGAGAAAAATGGCAAGCCATTTATCAAACAGAGAAAAAACTTCACGAGAATCAGAGTATGAAAAGTTCCAAATTTCAAACTTGTCACATGGATGTTTCTCTCTCTACATCACTCCAGGATTGTATCCACTATTTCCATGTGACTGCCAAAATAAACAAATTACAAGTTGAGAAGAGTGGAACAAGCTTGTAGCCATGTTTTGGAGAGAATACTCATCTGGACTGCTTATTTAAAAAAAAGGTAAGAAAGTATTTTGTGAATGAGGCATCCAGGCAACATGTCTTCTATGGCTTCTTGCCCTCTCCATGGTTTATGATTCAATTTCTCCAACAAAACCCGCGTCGGGATTTTGTGAGAAGTCAATCACAATCAAAAAAGAAGGAAAAGTTAACGTAATACTTGAGAAAATGACAAAAAAGTCCCGCAATTGAAAATACCATATATTCCATTATAATTAGCCGCAGCAGCAACTTCAAGAGATGCTTTACATATGAAAATGTGATTGTTCCTTTCCCTCCACAAATTCGAGTTTAAATCGCTTAAGTTACTAAAAGACGCTGCTTGTATCTTCCTGAGCACGTCATTTCACCTGTATCATCTCCTCTAGATGTCGCTCCATCTTTTGCTTCTTTTGATTGTTGGCAACTTCCTCTATCTATAGTCACTCTGCTCTATAGTTGTGAATATTTATATCCTGCAATATTTCGAATACATAGTTTCTCAAATGGCATACAAAATCTCACAATATTATAAAGCATAAGCCATCTAAGAAGATGACATCTTTATAACAGGGAGAAGCAGGACCAGGTTCGACAAGTATTGTGGAGAACATAACACACCCCAAAACCCATATGAGTTGTGCTCACTTGACAGGAGCAAATATTCAATATGTTAAAAGTTGGAAAAATGTCAGCATCATGTACTTCAGTCTCTCATTTTCTCCTTTTTTTCGTTTTTCATTTCTATATTTTGCCAAATTAATTTCATTTCCAACAACTTGAGGTACCTATGAGTAGTGAATAAAGGAGCAAGAAATTAATCAACTTAGTAGTAGTACGAAACCTTAAGAAAAGGCGATCTACTAGTTGAAAAAAGGAGGATCCTTTTGAAGAGTTTATGTCGTCTCGGTAGGGAATAGTCCAATCTTTTCCGGCCCCTTGTCAACTGCTAATGAAAGAACGAAATCCGAGTATATACCAATACCTATTACGGGTAAAAAGATGGAGATCTAAAGAAATAACTCTCGCGGTCCAAAATCAAACCATATCCAATGAAGAACAATTAGCAGATAACGGAAGTTTTGTTCGTATCTGTGAGAAGGCACGGGAGAAAATATATTATTGGTATGTTAACTATAATACAAGTAACCCTATTTATAACAATACACAATACCTACACTACTCCTATTCCATGTAGGACTATGCTTATTTACACAACAACTAACTAACTAACACTCCCCCTCAAGCCGGTGCATACAAATCATATGTACCGAGCTTGTTACATATATAACCAATACGAGGACCTGTGAGGGACTTGGTGAGAATATCTGCAAGCTCATCATTCGACTTCACAAACGTTGTAGCAATCTCTCCTGAGAGTATCTTTTTTCTGACAAAGTGACAGTCAATCTCAATGTGTTTAGCTCTCTCATGGAACACCGGATTTGATGCAATATGAAGGCAGCTTGATTATCGCATACAAGTTCCATCTAGCTGATTTTACCAAATTTCAACTCCTTGAGCAATTGTTTGATCAAGACTAGCTCATATGTTGCCATAGCCATTGCTCGATATTCTGCTTCTGCACTAGACCGAGCAACTACATTCTGTTTCTTGCTCTTCCAAGACACCAAATTGCATCCTACTAAAACACAATATCCAGACGTAGAACGTCTATCAGAAGGTGATCCTGCCCGGTCAGCATCTGAGTATCCAACGATCTGCTCATGACCTCGATCCTCAAACAATAACCCTTTGCATGGAGCCGATTTTATATACCGAAGAATGCGGACAACTGCATCCCAATGACTATCACAGGCAGAATCCATAAACTGACTTACAACACTCATAGGAAAAGAAATATCGGGTCTAGTCAATGTGAGATAATTTAATTTACTAACCAGCTGCCTATATCTTGCAGGATCGCTAAGCGGCTCCCCCTGTCCTAGCAGAAGTTTAGAATTCGGATCCATCGGAGTTTCAACAGGTTTGCACCCCATCATTTCTGTTTCCTCAAGAATGTCTAAAGCATATTTTCTTTGTGAAATAACAATACCTGAGCTAGACTGAGCAACCTCAATACCTAGAAAGTACTTCAATCTGCTTAGATCCTTAGTTTGGAAGTGCTGGAAGAGATGCTGCTTCAGATTGGTAATATCATCCTGATCATTGCCAGTAATAACAATATCGTCAACATAGACCACCAGATAAATATAGAGACTTGAAGCAGAATGCCGATAGAACACAGAGTGATCAGCTTCACTACAAGTCATGCCAAACTTCTGGATAACTGTGCCGAACTTACCAAACCAGGATCGAGGAAACGGCTTTAGACCATAAAGTGACCGGCGCAAGCGACATACAAGGCCACGAGACTCTCCCTGAGCAACAAAACCAGGTGATTGCTCCATATAAGCTTCATCCTCAAGGTCACCGTAAAGAAAAGCATTCTTAATGTCCAGCTAATAGAGAGGCCAATGACAAACAGCAACTATGGATAGAAAAAGGCGGACGGATGCTATTTTAGCCATGGGAGAGAAAGTATCACTGTAATCGAGCCCAAATATTTGAGTATATCCTTTAGCAACAAGACGGGCCTTAAGTCGATCAACTTGGCCATCCTGACCAACTTTGACTGCATAAACCCAACGAAAACCAACAATAGATTTACCTAAAGGAAGAGGAACAAGCTCCCAAGTACCACTCGTATGTAAAGCAGACATCTCGTCAACCATAGCCTGTCGCCATCGTGTATGAGACAACGTTTCACCTGTAGACTTAGGGATGCAAACAGAGGACAAAAAAGATATAAAAGCATAATTGGGGGATGACAGACGATAATAACTTAAACCGACATAATGGGGATTAGGATTAAGTGTGGTCCGTATACCTTTCTGAAGTGCAATCGGTGTACTAGGAAGAGACAAGTCCGCAGTAGGAGCAGGGCCAGGTGCAGGACGAGAATCAGCTGGGCACGAACGACGATGATAAGTCAAGAGTGGTGTTCCTGTGGCAGGGGATCTAGAGGGAGCAACAATAGACTCCTCAGCAGTTGGTATGGGCAAGACTTCAATGGCAGAAGGTGGAAGAGGAGCTACAGTAAACTCCTCAAAGGTTGGTATATGTAATACCTCAGATATATCATGGTGGTCAGAAGAGGTAAAGAAAGGTTTAGACTCAAAAAAGGTGACGTTAGTTGACATAAGGTACCAACGAAGATAAGGTGAATAACAACGATATCCCTTCTGAACACGAGAATAACCAAGGAAGACACGAGGAGCTAACTTATCTTTCCTAGGGGCTAAGTTATGAACGAAACATGTGCTCCCAAAAACACGAGAGGGAAGAGAGTATAAGGGTGACTGCGGAAACAATACTGAATACGGAATCTGATCCTGGATGGGAGATGAAGGCATCCGATTAATCAAATAACAAGTTGTGAGAACTGCGTCGCCCCAAAAACGCAATGGAACACGAGATTCAATGAGAAGTGTGCGAGCAGTCTTAGTAAGGTGCCTATTCTTTCTCTTTGCAACCCCATTTTGCTGAGGGGTATAAGGACAAGATGTCTGATAAATAATTTCTTGAGAAGTCATAAACTGCTGAAACTGAGAGGATAAATATTCTAAGGCATTATCATTGCGAAAAGTGCGAATAGAAACACCAAATTGACTTTTGATTTCAGCACAAAAATTTTGGAATATAGAAAATAACTCAGAACAATCTTTCATTAAGAAAAGCCAAGTACATCTATAATCATCAATAAAACTAACAAAATAACGAAATCTCTAGGTTGAACTGACTCTACTAGGACCCCATATATCAGAATGAGAACTACCAGAACCCGTGTTTTTAGACCCAAAAACATCAAATCCCCAACACATCGTTGGATTGAAGAGAGGTCTAGAAAATTATTACCAAATAAGAAAAAAGAATCAACTTTAATCCACTGAAACAAAGGAAGGAAACACTGTAGTCGCCGGTAATTTACTGTAGCTGCTGGAAAAATCAGTATAATCGCCGAAAAAAACTCAAAGTGGCCGGAATAAAACGAAAACAATAAGGGTGGGGTCGGAAGTAGTAGACGGCCCAACTGTTCTGAAGAAACTTCTTCAAAAAATGGCCAGAAGTGGTCGTACTCGCCGGTGCATGAGCTCACAAGCTTGCCGGAACCCTAACTTCTAACGGCGCGTGAGGAGGCTGCCGTCAGAGAGGTTCACTGGGGTTTGGTCGTCGGACGATGACGGATCTTGTGGTAGTGTTGGATTTTGTACAACACTGACGGAGAGCGAGATGATGCAAGGCAGCCTTGAAAAGTCGCCGGAAAATTGAGGCACGGTGACTTCTGGCTCTGTATTCTAGTTCCCAGATGTGTCTCACCACCACTGCTCTGGTACCATGTAAGAAGGCACGGGAGAAAATATATTATTGATATGTTAACTATAATACAGAAAATATATTATTGATATGTTAACTATAATACAAGTACCCCTATTTATAATAACACATAGGACTATGCTTATTTACACAACAGCTAACTAACTATCAGTATCCAGCATCTTTTCCTGTTAAAATACTTCTAGGGAGGGAAAAGAGGGAGGTCAGAAAGCAAGAGGTACCTGTATATGTCCTCGTCTGCACCAACAATGATCATATTCAACTCAGTTTACCTTTTTACCTTGAGGGCACATTTCCTCTTAGAGTGTTGACATTATCAAAGGACACACCTCCTGCAAAGTAAGATAATGTAAAACATATTATTATTCCAACGCAGAAAGAAATCTGATACTTCATTTATATACTAAAATAAAGACTAAAAACGGCCAAAGATCTGAGATACGTATCTAAAGATAAAATTATTGGCAGAAGCCAAGCAGTAATTACTTTAACTTCATAATTGCTCTATGCACGAGACAGGTAAGGCCTTTTCGCAATTTATAAATGCACTGCTAGAACGCTGCTTTGTGACAATATATTAGTCATTTCTAGATAATCCTTGTATCCTTGTTTTTGCAACCTCACGTTACCTCGTATGAGCTTTCTACCTCAGCCTACGAAAATTTCATCATGCTACTGCTTTGTGTGTCACCAAAGATGAAAGATTCTACTGGTTTATACAAATCTTTCATGGAATTAATGCACAACACCTAAGATATTTATGACCTCTTAACTTGACACATAGAATATGAATATTTTCATGGCAGTAATGCCCAGCACTTTAGATATCTATCACTTCTTTTAAGAGTATAGAAGTTAATTTCCTTTAAATTTAGTAAAAAATGGTGGTCAGTAATGTTTTACTTTCAAAATTCTGATAAGGAATAATGTATTTTCCTTGCAGAGAACTACGCTTAAATGTACTGCTGAATAAACTATAACCAATAAGAACGTCATACGGTAAAACAGATTATGTCTATAAAGCAAACTAATGGCTATGACAAATAGAATTGATAGTTATATCCTTTCATGTACCTATGAGCTTACTCAGCACTAATATTTAGTGCCAGGAAATACAAGAGTGAGACAATTTGACAGTACACAACTTTCTGCACTCATAGAAGAGGTTCGTATTACATCAAAATATCAATATAGGAAGGAAATTATCTAGCAGCCTCAGCGTGTTTTCTTTGAAAAATTCTAGACTCAACTAAGCGCAACCTTAGATGATTTGCCATATGGATGAGGAGTACGAGAATAATTTGTTTTTGCATTGTGACAAATGCCGAATGATGGTGAGTATACTCATCTCTATCTCTCCTTCTTTTTGAGACACAGTATAGTAATGTATTTTCCCTTTTTTATTTTAGAATTGAATGTTTCCAGCTTGCTATTTCTCTTATCCACAAATCCATTGTGCGGATGTGATAGCTACTCATTTTCAGTTAAATGTGCATAGAATTTCCTGTTTATTCGTTATTGATCAAAGTGACTTGTATTGGGAAATGGGGAGATTGACGAGGATGTCACACGTCATATTGGGAGGATAAAAGGGAGGCTCGCCTCAGGTGTTTTGTGGGATAAGAATGTGCCACTAAAGGTAAGTTCTACAGAGCGATGGTCAGACCGATTATGTTGTATGGGGTTGAGTGTTTGCCAGTCAAGAACTCCCATATCCAAAAGATGAAGGTAGCAAAAATGAGGATGTTGAGATGGATGAGTGGGCATACCAAGTTGGATAAAATTTGGAATGAAGATATTCGGGAAAAGGTGGGCATAGCTCCTGTGGAGGACAAGATGCATGAAGCGAGATTTAGATGGTTTGGGCATGTAAAGAGGAGAGGCATTGATGCACCAATAAGAAGGCGTGAGAGGTTGGCCTTGGAGGGCCTAAGGAGAGGTAGAGGTAGGCCGAAAAAGTATTGGGGTGGGGTGATTAGGCAAGACATGGCTATGCTTCAGCTTATCGAGGACATGACCCTTGATAGGAAGGGGTGGAGATCAAAAATTCGGGTAGAAGATTAGGTGGCCGACTGTTTTCTGTTTTCCTTGTTCATATTAGTGGTATTAGTGTGCTACGTAGTGTTAGTCTTTTATTTTCTTATTCTTATATTTCTATTATCACTAGTTGTTTCATTCACTTCGATTTTCTGATTGGCCTGCTGGTGTTACTACATGTTGCTACTCCTTTCTTCTTATCTTTCCTGAGCTGAGGGTCTATCAGAAACAGTCTCTCTATCTTTTCAAGGTAGGCGTAAGTTTTGCGTACACACTACCCTCCCCAGGCCCTACTTGTGGGACTACACTGGGTTTGTTGGTGGTGGTGGTGGTGTACAACCCTTAGATGATTTCCGAACTCCATCATATATAGATTTACATTAAGAAAATAAAAGGCATAGTAGAACAAATATAGGCAAACAAATGAATAATCCCAATTTACTGCCAACTGGGATAACTCTATTTCAATTCTATAAGAATAACTGGCTTTTCTTTCTTTTTTACATGATAACAGCGGCAGACCAAGTAGAATCAAGTTGAATATGTGGATATTTGAAAATCATCGATTCAATTGTCAAATCTACTGCACATCACTATAAAACTCTTATCAGCAATTTCATTATTCTTTTTCCACACAGTTATGGACAAATCCATCAAACAAAAGGTTGGATTTAGCCAGCAAAGACCCAGATCCAAATTAAGTGAACAAACGCTATTCCACTTTAGAGAACTTTCACAAGAAAGCTACAACAAACACTCACCAACCCGACTGAATGATAAACAAAAATAATACAGACGGGTTGAACTCACCGGAAGCCAGAACAAAGAGCCATAATCTCCATCATCGATTGCCAATGCAGCCCATTTAACAGACAAATCAGCAGTAACGGGCAATGGAGATGAGAATGGAGCCAATCCGCGAGCAACAGAAGAAGACATGAGGAAGAGCTAAAGTTGAAGGGCTCTATTCTCATCTCCATTTCCTTCTTCTCTGTATCATTTTGCCTATTCCTCTTCCTCTTGGTTGCTACCTGTACTTGATTCTCGCTAAATCTAAATGATTAAGACTGACGAACGTGGAAAAATTAGTTGCTGGTTGAAAGACACGTCAAAGCAATTAGCGAAAGACTAAAATGTCTTCAACTATGATTTTATTGCCATGAAGCAGCCAGGTTGATACCCATGGCTCTTCTACATAATAGTAAAAATATAGAAAAGTAGGCAGCATTATCAGTAAGATACAATTTATTAATGCCTTTTGGAATCATGTACATGTAGAACAAAAGCAGAATTCTATCAGAGGAAGCACATTAGGAGCACTCATCATCAAATTTACTGTAAGTGGTAAAAAAGTACAGTGTGCGATGTGTGGTAGGCGCACCTCACGAATGTGAACCATATCAATGACAGGAGATTGGTGGTATTTAAGTGGGAGGAGGGTAGGGGCAGATCAGTACACCCTCCAGTTTCGAACATGTTTACTGACCGGAGCTAGGCCCGCTCACCCAGGGAATTTCTCAACCAAAAAAGAAAAAGAAAAAAAGAAGAAATCGATGAAGAAGCTTCAGCCAACAATCACATATCAATAAGACTAACAAGGTAAAACATAATGTTATAGCATAAAATGTGAAAGTTGCATGATCAAGGTGTATAAAGCAAAAAATCATCTCTTTCCATTTGTCCTTGGACAAGATAAAGGTGCTACAATCTGTAAGACATCAACCACCTTGAATTGCATAGACAATATTTCCCATTTGCATCTCAATCTGGTGGGAATTATCTTTGCAAAGTTTATTTACTAGAGAACGGAAAATACTTTCTCTTACAGCATAACCTAACCTAAGCATGTAATCTAAAACGAATAAGGAGTTATCCAACTTATCTGCTTGGCAAAGATGATAAACCAGTTTCTCAAAAGTTTTTCTCCTTGGTCTGAGCCTACTCTTCAGCATACTGCTCAACCAATCTACCCCCTCTGCTACATATCCTTGCTTGATCAATCCGAGTATAATAGAATCCTGAGTCGATGCTGCAGGTTTAACACCTCTATAGTGCATATCATTCCACAATGATTTCGCTTCCTCAACATGGCCGACCTCACAAAGTTTCTCAATTAACACTGTATAAGAAGCGGGTGATGGTTGCAACCCCTGCTTTAGAAGTTCATATAAAAATTGAAGCCCTTCAGCTATCTTCCCATTCTTGCAGAAACCCTGAATTAGAGAATTGTATGTGATCACATCATGGAGAAGACCTTTCTCAGCCATTTCAGTGAACAAGTTCTGAGCTTCTTCTACTCTTCCATAAAGACACAGCCCATAAATCATGGTGTTATATGTCACTGTGGTCTCTCCATATCCTTTATCACGCATTTGCTTATAAAGACTTTCAGCTTCACTTAGATGGTTAGTTGTTAAATACCCATGGATCAGTGTGTTATATGTATACTCATTAGGATTGAATCCCTTTTGAATCATCTCAAACCATAATTTCCGGGCATCTCCAAGCAATTTCATTTTACAGAGACCATTAATCATTGTTGTATACATAACGATATCAGGAGCATATCCTCTATTCTTTAGATCATTAAATATCCGAAAAGCTTCACGCCTCTTTCTCGTTTCACATAGTCCCTGAATAACTTGCTGATAAGTGAATATATCGGGAGAACAATTAGTTGCAATCATTGCGTGGAGAAGAGCTGACAGTCTAAAGTAATCTCTGCTCTTGCATGATTCATAAATCAGTTTATTAAAAGCAACATTACTAGGGGCATGCCCAGATTCCAAGACCTGTCGAAGAAGTTGATGACCTTTTGGAACATTGTTCTCCATACAAAAAGCTTGAATCAAGTACCCAATCGTATCAACATCTGCTACAACACCGAGATCTGTCATATCCTCATACAATTTCCAGACAATGTCAGTTCTTCCAGCTCGAATACAATCTGAAAGGGCTGAATTCCAAATTTTCAATGACGGGCAGTGGCCAACACCTCTCAATTCAGTAAACACATCGAGGGCGTCCTCAATCAATTCATTTGCACAAAGACACTCAATGTAGGCCTCCAAACAACTAGGTTGAAGTACAAAGTTCATACTTTGTCGAAAACATTTAGCAGCACTGGCAGCCTTAGCTTGTACAAGCCCACTAAATATTACTTCGTCCGAGAACTGATCCCTTGAAAATTTATTTTGAGAACTAAGCCAATAATAAAACCGAAGTGACAACAGAGCATTCTTTTGTGCCTTCACAACCTCCCTATAGAATCTTGGATCCGTAAAATTAACAGTGGGAAAATCAGATAACAATGATTGTTCCCATCTTGGTCGTGTCCGGATGACTTTGCAAACTTCTTTAGCTATCTCAACAAAGCTCTGTTGGGCACTTTGATGATTCTCTGGACTTGATTGATCTGGGTTTTGTGCAGCAACTTCACCTTCAATCCCGCTATTAGTTCCAGCAATACTAAGGTTACGGATTGGGGAATTGCGGGTGCACAAGCTTGTGACAAAAAATGGAGGTCTAGCCATTCAAATCTGCAGATCGTTTAATAAAAATTCAAATGGGTACCCAGAAATGCCAATCAAATATTCAGCTAAAATACATGAATTTACACGGAATGCCTCTTCGTATGCACATGTAAGCACATACAAATAGCAATAGCAATATGAGATATAATGCAAGAAAGAACTTCAAATCAGCAAATTCTTCAATAAAATTCAAAAGGATACCCAGAAATTCCAGCAAAATTTCAGTTAAATACATGAATTTACAAACCTCTTCATAAACACAAATAAACATATACGAATCGCAACATGAGATAGAAATGCAGCAAAGAATTTAAAAATCTGCAGTCCTCAATAAAACTCAAAGGGTATCCAAATATGCCAACAAAACCTCATCTTGAATACATGAATTTCACAGAAAAGGCCTCTTCATACACATTTATGCATATATGACTAGCACTATGAGATATAAAATGTACAGAAAATTACACTTTTACTGAAAATTTTACCAAGGCAGTCTTCAACAAATTCAAATGGGCATCCAAATAAAATTTCCAGCAAAAAATTAGCTTGAATACATAAGAGGCCTCTTTAATATGTACATATTAGTGCATATATGAAAAAAAAATCAATATGAGATATAAATGCAAAAAAGAATACACTTTTACTTACAAAGATTATCCTTTTAGATTTAGAAGAATTGAAAGCTAGCGTCCTGATCCTTCAAGACCCATTTTGAAATTCTTTATAACTCTGTATTGGAACAAAAGTATAGCCAAGGCAGTAGAATCCCAAATTTGAAAGAAAAATGCTTTAGGGATTCGAGAAAATAGCAAAACTGCGCTTCATTGGTGAGAATGGAAGGCGGGTTTGTGAAAGATTTTGCATAAAGTGAAGCTACAAATGAAATCTGAGGAGTAGAGGAAGAAGACGACTATGATCTATTGGGCCTTTTCTTTTCTCTTGTTATCATTGGACCTTTGCAGAATCTTTTAGATGGGCTTCAGACCTAAGATATGTCAGACAGAATTTTACATATCTATACTACTTTTAAAACTTATTTATCCTGGGAAATTTTCATAGGTTACATATGGATTTACAAAATATTCCATAATCTACAACTAATATTAGAATTACAAATTCTACAACAAAGATATACTCTAAAAATATGGTAAATTCCCTATTAAAGGGGAATGACAACGTAAGTCTCTAAAAATTAGGTATCCAATTTGTTAATTATTTATTACCATTATAAACACATTAGTTTACCACTATAACACTATCTCATAACCAACACTATATCTTCCTAGGATGCACTAGTTCGTATGAAATTCTTCGGTTCTTCCATTCTTTCAATTTCAATCTTCATGTTGGTATATGTTTAACCAAAAAATAGATTTTTAGTCAAAGCTAGAAATTAGAAGAATCGGATTACGGATAATCGAAAAAGTAAATAAAGAAAGAAATTTTAGAATAGCCAAGTATGAAAGCTGGTAAATCAGAGTATATTTCAATAGTCACTTGTCCCTCCAGTGATTACATATTCCTCCTTTTATAGGTCCCTTTGGGAATCTTTGGGGATGCACGTTATGCCTAAGTCATAATGAGGCTATTATGAGTGATTAATGACATTAAATGCTACGTTACATAATTATTACATTGAATGTATATATTCCTTAATGGCTCCAGCATTTAATACCCTTTAAATGCCGTATTTGCATCTTTTTCTTTAGCCAGGTTCATTCTTCTCATTGCTCGTATGTAAATAAGCTTAAACAGGAACGAGGCGCTGAGCTTCTCGTCTCGTGCCTCTTTCTACCCGTACCTGTTTGTAACTCTTGAACCGTGGTAAATTATAACTCATTATCCATTCCACGTGTCAGGACACGTCATCATATATATAGATGAATACAAATTTTTCCCAATACAGATAGTCCCCCCACTTTCCATTAATTCATCAATTCGAATATTTGGGAAGTGGAATTCATTGAAGGAGAATTTTTGTCACCATTAATGCTCTGACAGAGTTGACGCTTCAATTGTCACTTCCTTTTAATGCACTAGACATGTGTCATTCTCTTATTGGTCGTACTATTTTGCAGCACCTTTTTAGGCTTTCTTTTCGGCTTCACTCTTCACGAAGTATCAGTTATCATCATTATGGTTCTTCCATCATCGTACTTTTTCTCTTTGTCAGTTATCCATTAGTATAAATATAACTTCTCTTCTTGTCTTGTTTCACATAAAGCGTATCAAAACACTCTAATCTTTCGAAATCTCCTTATTATTTTCTGCTCCACTTCAACCCTCTCTGCCATGGCTTCAGCAAATCCTAACCCTAAGAGAACCCCCATTCTGGATAGCTTCCCCAATGCTCCGATTAGACACAGAAGAGGGGGTAGACTCCGTAGCCTTGGATCTGTTCGTGGTAGTACGTCAACTCCTTCTTCTAGTTCTGTCCCTCTTCTGGGACTAGGGTTCACATTCTCAAAGGAGTTTCTTCTCGTAATAAAGAATCTTTTGAGCTACTTCGTGAGCCTTTGGTTGAGGAAATAATCCCCTCTAAAATTTCCTTTCATCATGATAGAGAGTCTCTTAGAACTCAAGTTGCTTCTTTAGATCATGCTGATCCCTTTCCTACTCAAATCACAGAAGTTTAGCTCCCATAGTTCGTAGGACTGTCATTAGAGTGACGATTTCCCAATTATCATACCTAACTCAAATCAAAGGATCACATCTTACTTAATAGGATTCTCCTTTGTTTACGCATACCCCTTTACCTAGGGTTTAAACCGGCCATTGACCCGGTCATTCTTGATTTTTGTCATTTTTTTTTATGTATGTTAGGGTCAAATTGGTCCGATTGTGTGGAGAGTTGTCGCCTTTTGAGCACCTTGCTAACATGGCAGACGTTAATTCACTTTCCCCACCTAATTCATCTTTACTCCCCTAGGCTTTTTCGAAACGGTGTGTTTGGTTTAGCAGCCAGGAGTAAGAGGGTCTTAGTGAGTCCCGAGGATGATAAAGACCGCTTCCCTAAGAAGTGGAATTTTGCACGTAACTGTTAAATTCTTCTCATGGCTTTTTATTCCTAGGCTTGCTTATTTTTTCTTAATCTTGCTTCTTTTTCTTTTCAGCAACCATGGGTGTTGTGGAATCTGTGCCCAACTTCCGTGGTTGGGTAGAAAAGTTACTGAAGATTGCCCAATGGAGGGTAGATGATGGAAAACTCTTTCCAAACCGTTATGGTTGGAAAGTAAAAAACTCATGTAAGGATTTCTATTTTACCTTATCTATTTAAGTATTTTTGTTGTTCTAACTTTCAACCTTCTTTCTATCAGGTTTTGTCATTCGAGGAATTACTCCAGAGGCCATCTTGGCGTCCCGTGACTCCTTAAGTGCTCGCACCTCTTCAGATCAAGATATATTCTTGGGATCTTCAGTTCAAGATATATTCTTGGGATCTGTAAAGAGAAAATCTGCTGAAGAAGATGATTCTGAAGAAGAAGACGAGGGTTCTCTGGTGTCAAGACCACGAGTCAGGAGACGTATCGTCTCTGAAAATGAGGTTGATGTCTCCCCTCACCTATCTCTTTCCGGACCTGTTATTACTCCGGTGATCATCCCTGATGATGATGTTTCTCCTCCTTCTGACACTCATGAATCTATAAATCAGCTCTTTATCAGTGGTTTCGATAGTGGGTCTTTAGGACCAGTTCTAAATGAACTTCCTTTGTCTTCTTTTACCTCTTCCGTTCCTGTAATTGCTTCTTTACCTTCATCAACAACTACTTCCGTACCTTCCTCCATTATTTTTATTCCTTCCACTGCTCCGCCTTCAGTAACTCCTCCCCCCATTGTCCACCGTACAGAAGTGGGCTCTTCGAGTAGGGGTTCTGCTATGAGGAGCGTGATCATTGAGCGTGTTCCTGCCAACAACAGTCTTTTAAGAAAGTCCGGGCAAGCTGATACTTGGCTCGAGCCTCTGATTGGCCCCATTGAGAAGGCTAAACTTGAAAGCCATAATAATATGACCCTCATGAATGATATAGTTCATGCGACTTTGAAGGTATTTTCTGTTCTTTTATTTTATTAAGACTTTTGACTTCGGGAGTCCTAACCTTACCTCCCCCTCTTTTTTTTGGTTGTGTAGGCCAATCTTATCGGTACTGAACTAATGACCCGAGTCTCTCTTTTGGAAAAACTGGCTCGTGGCTTGGAAAAGACTGCTCATGATGCAGAAGAAGCTGCCCGTGGTTCTCAATTGGAGGCAAACAACTGGAAGGGCCAGTTTGAAAGTGTACAAATCGATATGGAGAACTTGGAAGAGAGGAAAAATACCTTGGAGAAACAAGTTCAAACACTAACCTCCGAGCTGGCAATGATTAAAGCTACTTCAAGCCAAACTGAGAAGGAAAAAAAACGCCTTGAATCTTCCTTTTCGGAACAGCTGTCCAAGGTCAACGAGGAAAATAGGGCTCTAAAGACTTTGCTGGCTCAGAAAGAAATGCATGCGGGGGAGCTAGCACAAAACCTTTCACGGGTACAAGAAGAACTACGAGTTTCTGTAGACAAGATTCATGCTCTGGACAATTCTCATACCACCCTTCAATAATCTTATAGTTCTGTCTTAGCTAAAAACGAAGAACTTAAGAATGAAATTGCTGCTTGGGAGAGAGATTATGAACTTCTTGAAGAGTCAACCAATGTTGAGGTGAGCTGGACCTTTTTAAAGTCTCGTCGTGACACCTTAGTAGAAATGGGCCAAGAAAATTTCAACCTGGAGTCTGAATTAGCCAAGGTGAATGAGGCCATTGAACGAGCACAACAACTACAAGATTTTTCATCTCCTGAGGCTGAAGCTCCTGTGACTGAAACTCCTTTGGCTGAGACTTCCGCAGTTGAAGTCCCCGTGACTGTTGAAATTGCCACGAGTGTCACACCTTCCTCAAGTTCATCCGTGCCTCTTGCTGCTAGTCAAGTTGAAACTTCATCTATTGATACTCCAGTGGTTGAAAATCAACCTTCTTCTGTTGGCGATGCTGTTCCAGTTGAGCCCGCTGATGATCCTTCTTCAGTCCTTTCCTCTTAGTGACAAATAAATTTACATCTATTTTTAAATTCCTTTTTTGCAGGTATCTATTTGGAAAAGTGTGTTTAAAGCTCTTGGACTCATTTGAAAGTTTTTGTAATCAAACCCTTGGCTATCGCTTGAGATTGTTGTTTCTTTTTTTTAAAGAAGTACAAGTCCCCAAGTCTTGCTATGGGGCATTTTGTATAAACAATTTGATGACTAAGTTTATACTTAGTCTTTAGTTTTAAATATTAAGAAGCTTTTATCATTAAACTTTCGTCTGTTCTATTCTTGCCTTTCATTTTCAAGGACTTAAAGAATAGTTTGCATTTTTTGTTCTTTGAAAAATGCTTCTGTTAATCCCATGACTAAATAACATGAGTTTTATAAAAGAGGGCCCTTTTATATTTTGACACTTAATGAAGAAGACGTCTCAACTTCATAATGGTGTTATCATACAATAAAAGAAATAGGAACACACATGTTTTTTGCAATAATTTTGACAAGTTTTTATTTCTGAACTTTGACAAGTTTGACAAGTCTTGAGTAATACTTTACATGTATTTGAATTACATCTATAACTTTCTCGCAACTGTTTTCCTTGTAACAGATTTATACAAAAGAAGAACAATAGATACGGGGTTTTTCCCTATAACTCGTTTTAGTACATAGTCCTTTTAGCTCCAGAACATTAGGAAGAGTTTGAGAGATGACTCCATTGTTCTTATGGGAAAGAATACTATGATGAGTGCCATTGTTCTCATGGGAAATAATATATGATGAATGCCATGACTTCGTAACTTTCACTCCGTACTTGATTCTTCTAGGCTTGATTTTCTAAATCTTCTTTGCCTCTTTGATACACGTGACTGTATCTACTATGTAGTCCCCCAAGTGTTTGAGTGTTGAA